TCCATATTTTTTCCCGGAAGTATTTATATGTTGAGTGCATACCAAGGAATTCAACTGAATTCTTCATTTTTCTGCAACGGTTTCCCTCAGAACAGTTTCCGAAAAGCGAAAGATTTTGAAGATAATTCTTGTTTATTAGGGTTTCAAGGTTTCCCACGAAAATACAGTAGGATAAATAGTTGAAATAAACATCAAGTTTTGATACATGGGCTGGCATACATTTACAAATACAATAATGTTAAAACATTTTGAAATGCACAAAATTCAGAATGTTGTGAAAATAAAAGAAAATGTGTACATAACCTAATTTTATAATTGATTATTCAAATTATTAATATCAACGAAATCTTTGAAAGTTTGAAAGTCGTGATATTTAAGCTAGCTATCATGAATTCATGATTTTGAATTAACGGGCTGCAGCTTAGTTGTGAGCGGAGCGGAAGTAAAAAACTTGGTAAAACTTAGGAAGCTTATATTTTCTATTTATTTTTAAAAGAAAAAAAGTTTTCCATTTTTCTTTTTCCTCAAAAGTAACGGAACTATGTGTAATTTAACCTCTGATAAAAGTGATGGAACTATGTGTAATTTACACTCTGATAAAAGTGATGGAACTATGTGTAATTTACCCTCTGATAAAAGTGATGGAACTATGTGTAATTTACCCTCTGATAAAAAATTCGTCTTTAAATATTTTTTCAAGTAACAAATATTGACATATTTTTGTTTTTCTGTCTAAAAAGTTTTTTTGGTTTTAAGTGGGACCTTTGGTTTTGTGCTTCAATAACGAGCAAATAAATTGTCAATTAAAAACTCAAGAAAATAGAAATGCCTAAAAATCCCGAAATTTTTTATTACAACTTTTTCTTTGCAACAAGTGTATTTGATGTTGTTATAAAGGAAATAACTTTACTAAGCTCTTATATCAAATCACAAATTAAGTGAAATGGGTCTGTTTACACAGCATAATTTCCGTATCCCATGCATATTGGACTATCAAAAGTCATAAATTGATTCTAAAAGTCGTCTTCCTATTCCAGAATTTTCTGGTTCTCACTATATATATGTAGATACTTAAAAATCTGGTTCCTTCACGTTCCAAAAATGTAGATTGTAGACCTTTAAACATGAATTTCCGGATACCAGGCGTTTTTAACCTTACAATACAAATAAAATTAAGTGGGTGCAATCAGTTACAGGGGGTTGGGTGGGGGGGGGGGGAGAGGTATTTGTGTATTGGTATGGTATTAGTTTTTGAAAGTGGTGGGAGGGAAGGGGGGGAGCGTATTTGTGTGTTGGCATGGTATTAGTTTTTTTAGTGGCAATGGGGAGGGAGGAGGGGGAGGGGTATTTTTGTATTGGCATGGTGTTAGTTTTTGAGAGTGGTATAATGAGGATATAGGGTGGGAGGGGGGGGGGGGGAAAAGAAAAAGAAAATCAAAAGTGTTTCAAGATTTTTTTCTGCCAACTTTGCAGTTTTTATAATTAATAAGCATGTTGAGTTTCAGGTTTTAATTAAATTTATAATCAACTTTTCCATAAGTTTTGCATAACTATATATCTATATATCAGTCTAGGCATACTATATGTAATTATAGTTTCATCAAACTTCAAAGAGAAAATAGATTAAAACGGTATGCTAGAATATAGTTAGGCATGTCGAGAATGAAGGCAAGCATTGCAAAGCATGCGTCAGTTTTAAGCAAGCCATAATAAAATCTTAATAAACAAATAAATATAAAGTATAAAGTAAAAAATATCTTCTGCTTAATATATTGAATTAACATGTTTACAATATTACAATATTGAAATTTCATAAACCTTTTCTACGTTTTTCCTTGTTTATCCTTAAGCATGTGCCCGCCCTGTTCAACCATTTGTTCCAACCATTCTGAATTCCAAGCCAAGCAGGGCGGGACAAGCAGTAGCTGGGCCTTTCGGCCTGGATTATCCAGACGTTTATGTAGATTTATGCCAAAATACTGTTTAAATACAAGGCTAGAGTCACGGATTCGAAATGAGAGAAATATCCATAGAAAATCTTATTTTATAAAATTAAATATAATTCGTGATCTAGTCTAAAGGTCACACATATCCGTAACCAAATCGCTTGCTAGATTTTTTTAACCCAAAAGGCCGGGGGAGGGGGGGGGGAGCTATATATTATAAAAATAGATTCGGACTTTGCAGGAACTAAAATGTCAAATTGTTGTTTTTTAAAGAATTATAAGAGAAGGGAATGTATTTGTTATTAATGATTTTATTATGTTTTTAATAGTTCTAATAAATAAAAATGAATGCAAAGTTGACATATTTTTATCTATATTTTTCTTAGTTTTTTATTTCCTGATGCTCTCTGGCCGGTCATGGACTAAAAGTTCAACAAAAACAAGACGGTGCAGATCTTTGCTTTTAGATTCTCTCAGATTTTTCAGTTTGTTTTCAACCATTATTGTAAATATCTATTTTCTGTACTTTATATACATGTTATATAAAGAAACTTGTACTGTTATATAATTTATTGTACTCTATATTATACTGTACTGTACTGTACTACAATTTTTTACATAATACTTTATTGTACTACAATTTCTTGTACTTTACTGTCTTTACTGTACTGCCCTTTACTGTACTAGCCTGTACTGTACGTACTTTACTGAACTGCACTGTTCTGTAGTGCACTGTACTGCAATGCACTGTACTGCACTGTAATGCACTGTACTGTACTGCACTGTACTGCACTGCACTGTACTGCACTGCACTGTACTGCACTGTACTGTACTGCACTGTACTGTACTGCACTGTACTGTAATGTACTTTACTGTACTGCACTGTACTGTATTGTACTGTACTGTACTGTACTGAACTGTACTGTACTGTACTGTACTGTACTGTACTGTACTGTGTTGTACTGTACTGTACTGTACTTTACTGTACTGTACTGAACTGTACTGTACTGTACTGTACTGTACTGTACTGTACTGTACTGTACTGTACTGTACTGTACTGTACTGTACTGTACTGTACTGTACTGTACTGTACTTACTGTACTGTACTGTACTGTACTGTACTCTACGCACTGTACTGCACTGTACTGTACTGCACTGTACTCTACTGCACTGTACTGTACTGCACTGTACTCTAATGCACTGTACTGTACTGTTCTTCATTGTACTGTACTGCACAGTACTGCACATGGTTTTTTTACTTCACTATAATGTACTGTATTTCACTGCACTTTCAAACCCATAACAATATATTTTGACAACATTTTATTTTTCGCTATCATTAGTACATTTGTTCCCATCTGTATCAAAGAAATATTCAAGATTGGTAATTGAGTATTTAAGTTCGTCCGTCTTATAGGTTTGTCTATGAATAAACCGGACAAACCACAAAATAATAGTTTCCTGAGAATCTGGGAAAATAATCAGTTTGACACACTAACTATCAATCTATCATTTGCTGAACCATCTAACTATCTTTCTATCATTTGCTGAACCATCTTACTATCTTTCTATCATTTGCTAAACCATCTTACTATCTTTCTATCTGCCCAACACAAGATAACTAGATATTTTGCGGAAATATATATAATAATTCTAATATCAGAACAGGAAGTAGAAAAAGATGGATTTTCTAGGATATAAAAATGAAAAATTGCTTTTGATTTAAACCACTAAATTCAGCTCCAAAATGTGTCAAAAGGTATGTAGATTTAAACTAATAAGATTTAATACTTTACACAAGATATCTTTAAATAAAACCCAGGAAATTCAGCCATCTACATCAAATTTTACTTTCTTTTTCGTAATTTTCATCTTTTTGATAAAAAAACGATTATATACGAGTTTTCTTTGTCAAATGTTCATAAGAACATAAATTTATAGCTAACTTGAAAGCTACAAACCTAAAATTTGTCTTGTGTGTGTTATGATTGATTCCCAGATTACATCTGAACTTCTGAACCGAATGGAAAAACATTTAGTGTTGGACCCCCCCCCCCCCAGGTTTTGTGGTTTTGTCCAGTCATAATTCGAAAATGTACTTAAACAACTTGTGTTTCAAGATTATGAAAAACTCTGAAAAAATCTACGGAAAAATGCATATCAAAAGGACTTCTTAGAAGTCAGAACTCGAAATTGTGATAACAAAAGAAGTCTTTTTCAAAGATAGTATTTTTTCTTTTTAAAATGTTGTGTAGAGATAAAATTCTATTATAGAGCTAGGATAAACTTGTCTTTTTTCTCCTTCTATCATTTATTCAAACTAAAATCAGATGCATTCATTTTTCTGGCTTCTTTCTAAACCTTCTTTCTGAATATTCTTTCTAAGCTTTCTTTCTTAACCTTCTTACTAAATCTTCGTCTAACCTTATTTCTAAAGTTTCTATCTAAACCTTCTTTCTAAACCATCTTTCTAAGCTTTTTTTCTAAGCTTTCTTTTTTAATATTCTTTCTAAGCTTTCTTTCTCAAACTTCTTTCTAAACCTTCTCACTAACCTTCTTTCTATGCTATCTTTCTAAACCTTTTTTTAAAAAACTTTCTGTCTAAGCTTACTTTCTAAACCCTCTTTCTAAACCTTCTTCCTAAGCTTTCTTTCTTGAATTGATTTCTAAACCTTCTTTATAAACGTCTTTCTAAACCTTCTTTGCAAACCTCTTTCTATTCTTTCTAAACCTACTTTTTTTACCTCTTTCTTTTCTTTCTAAACCTTATTGTTATACCGCTTTTAATTCTGTTTAAACCTTCTTTCTATACCTTTTTCTAACCCCTTTTAAAGTTTCTTTTAAACCTTCTTTTTAAACCTTTTTTTCTAAAGCTCATTTTAAATTTTCTACTTGGTTTTAACACTTGAAAACAAACTTTACATAAATATTATTTTAGATTAAATATTTCAGTTCATGATCAAGATTTTATTGCATGAATCTACTATTTAATCTATAGATTGTATTGTATTACGTACATGTAATGTATATAGAAAAGTAAAACATATCTCTTACTTGAACTCTTCCTCTTGTGTGAATACTTCAGCTGTTAGTAGGCTAAGGTAGAAACCTAGTCCGGTCAGCACAGCTAGCTTCATTTTATATTCTGGTCTAAACACCAGTTTTATCTGTCTTGTCTGTCGTGTCTGTCGTGTCTGTCTTGTCTGTCTTGTCTGTCTTAACTGTCTTGTATGTCTTGTATGTCTTGTCAGTCTTGTCTGTCTTGTCTGTCTTGTCTGTCTTGTCTGTCTTGTCTGTCTTGTCTGTCTTGTCTGTCTTGTCTGTCTTGTCTGTCTTGTCTGTCTTGTCTGTCTTTTCTGTCTTTTCTGTCTTGTCTGTCTTGTCTGTCTTGTCTGTCTTGTCTGTCTTGTCTGTCTTGTGTTACCTAATTTACAACTCTAGCTGACAAAGGCTCATATCTGAAAATAAGATCTAAGTAATTAAAATAGTTTAAAGATTAAAAATTAAAAAAAACGTTATCTAAAGTCAGATCTAACACTGTAAATAATTTACGTACATATTGGTTCTCTATCTATTTATATTACTAGCTATTCATCTTTCTAAGGAGAATAACTTCCGTTAGTCTGAAAAAGGTTGTCTCAAAAAAAACATAATTTTTAAGCATATAATTAAAAAAGATATTTTATATTCGAAAACCAGGCACTGCACTTTCAACATATTCATTAAAACTTTTAAAATGTAAATAATGATTTTTGTTCCTGGATTTAAAAAAAAAACTTTTTTTCCATGGAATTTTTTTTTGGACTCTGACTAGTCGTGACTTGTTCTAATAAAACATCTTGGAAGGATCTGCTCACATTATACTATCTGACACTAGGAAATAGATAGATAGATAGATAGATAGATAGATAGATAGATAGATAGATAGATAGATAGATAGATAGACATAAAAAATTCTGTTAAGTGTGGCAAGTATAATAGTTTTATTTGGATTAGCTCTTAGATTACTCTAACAGGACGGAACGAGACAAAACGGAACTAGAACGGAACGATCTAGCTGAAGGCCCTTGTTCTAGAACGGAACGAAACTATTTCAAAAAAGTCGGAACGTCCCAGCCCTACAGACCACATCCAATGCGCGCATGACATGGATAGTTATACAACGTGAGTATAAATAAAACATATCATCAAATTGCATGACGTTGTAATTTTTAAGATGAAATTTTTAAACAACTTTTGTCTGTGGCGCCCAATAATTTCCGATTTACATCACAGACTAATTACTAATCTTAAAAAGTAACACAGTTACGCCTCATCTAGCTGTAGACATGGTACGCAGTATTAAATGCTATATCTACAGAGCGTCCCATATCATATCGGGTTATCCCCAAACTTTAAAGCCAAAATACGCACAAAATACTCGAAAAAACTAGTATTTTCTGCATGCAATTTTTTAAATTTAGTCTTATACAATTTTTTAGAATGATTTAATCTTTTTAAATCTTCTGATTTCTCCCGAAAGTCGCAGTTAAAAGCTATAAGCCTATATGATCTAATGTTATGTGGGTATGACAGATAGAGAGATACGTGGATACTTATTATGGCTAACAAAGATAAATAGATTATAGTGATACGTGATTTGAATATGAAAACAAGATTGAACGTACTAAGCTTTCGACAAAATAAGGGAAGAAAACAGCCAAAAGGATTATTTCAAGAAATTGGAACAAAAAAGAAATACAGAGAACAGAAATTGGAGAACAGAGAACAGAGAACAAAGAACAGAGAACAGAGAACAGAGAACAGAGAACAGAGAACAGAGAACAGAGAACAGAGAACAGAGAACAGAAAACAGAGAACAGAGAACAGAGAACAGAGAACAGAGAACAGGAAACAGAGAACAGAAATCAGAGAACAGAGACCGGAGAACAGAGAACAGAAAACAGAGACCGGAGAACAGAGAATAGAGAATAGAGAATAGAGAATAGAGAACAGAGAACACAGAACACAGAACAGAGAACAGCTAGCAAAGAACAGAGAACACAGAGGTACAATAATGATTATATCATAATTTGATCTCCAAACAATTAGGGTTTGACATGATGAGACTTTAGTTTTAAAGTTGCATTAAACGGGTTTCAGTGAGAGGGGGGTCGGTCGAAGAGGGGAGCTGGGTCGGGAGAAGAGGGGAGGTGGGTCGGGAGAAGAGGGGGGGGGGGTCGGGATAAGAGGGGAGGTGGGTCCGGAGGTTTTAAAAAGGCCAATGGTAGGAACTTAAGATTTTTTAATTTAATCTGAAATTATTTCACAAAGGTCCAAATAGATAAAAGGCGGAAAGTAGTTGAACTAGGAACAGATAGTTGAACAACTCTATTACATTGGAGCGATAACAAGAAAAGACGCTTCGCAAAAAAAATTTTTGAAGATACAGGAATGGGGGGGGGGCGATAGGTGGAGGTTAAAAAGTGTAATGGGAAGTGTGACTTTGAATTTAAGTTTGTTTAACATGAATGACTTGTTTAAAGAACAATGTTGATTTAGATAGTTAAATTGATAGAGGTACAATAAACAAGAATAAGAACAATCGAATTTTTTTGAAATAAAAAAATTAAGCCTATGTTACCCCAGGTGTACCCCTGAGCTCAAAAATGTAAGCCAATTTGGCACAGCCGTTTGGCAAGCTATAGCTAACATATAATTATATATATATGAGCGAAGAACTTCCTTATGTAGACTAAATAAGATGAAGAAGTGGGAGAAGGGAGAACTATTAACTAATTTAGTTGAAAAAAATTAGATATCTAAAAAAAGTTTATCCTAAAAGCTTAAAAGAGAAGTAAGTAATTAATTGAGTTGTTCAGAACTGTTAATCAGTAGCGAATTAAGTTAAGTGCGATTTAAGAATGAGTATACATTATAATTGTGTAAAGTACATACATATGTTGTATATATATGTATATCTATACACGGTTACCCACAAAGGATGAGACTTCAAAGATGATTGAAGGACTTTTCTTCAATATTTGCTTGCGTTAAAGTTTCCATGGATTTGTTAAAGGTAGGCGTAATTTCAAGTGAACTTTAGTGAAAAAATGGCGATGCTTAATCACAACCGTAAAGCTAAAAACTTCGTATGATTAAGCATAAATTGATATCAATACTTTTATTTGGAAAACTGATCTATTTTCAATTGTGGTTGCTCTTCAAAAGAGCGCATTTCTACTGCAGGAAGACAGATCGAAATTATCTAAATTAAATACTTTTAAACCTAGAAAAACTTCAATATCTTTTACATTATTGATCAAATAAATGTTTCAAAGAGACTGTTGTAATAATCTTTACACTTGAAATTACGCTTATAGTCCCTTTAACTTGTTCTTGTATGGTCAAATCATAAATAAAAGAAATAAAATTAAAGGCCTTCAGGACTAAATTCAATCATCAGATCGTTATTTTAAAGATTTTAATGTCGTCATTATTTGTCTTATCCTTTATGGGTGACCCTGTTTATACAAACAAACCGCTGAACAACACCATCAGTATAGGATAGGGTTAATGTACCCTATTTAAAACAGGAAAATGATATCGATCAAGTTTAAAAGGTCAAAACTCTCAAATATCTCAAGATAATGAGTTAGAATAAGGTGATGCCCTAAAATCATTCTTTACACTAAGAATGAAATACAAATTTAAAATGTAAAAACTTAAAAAAGATTTGTCTTTCAAAAATACAATAGTTGACTGATAGCGAGAAAAAGACTTGTTTCAATCATTAACTTCTCACCGGCCTCCCCTTCGTCTCTCAATCATCTCCCTCCCCTCCCCTCCCTCCCTTCCATCCACCCTCTCCCCCTCCCTTCCCTTTCCCCTCCCTCCCCCCTCCATCCACCCCCTCTCTTCTTTCCTTGACATTTAATTTTAACGTGTTTTAGTTTACGCTGCACTTATTTCTCAGCTAATAGGATTGAAAAGTAGAATTTGAAAAAGAAAAATTAATCATTTTCGAAGATTTAGATAAATAAATAAAAGTTTGAAAAGAAAAAGGATGACATGGAGTAAGGAGGACAGTAAAAAAACGAAGTAAAATAAAGAGAAGCAGAGTAATGGGACAGAGCGCGAAAAAGGAGATGAAAATTTAACCAAAAAATAATAGGCCCCATTTGGAAAAGAAACTGGTTAATTACAGTGTATCTCATAAAGTTGTAGAATGGGGAGATGACAGTTGGTGTTGTTCAGGAGGTCAGATTTTGATTTAAATACTCCAATAAACACACAGCTTTTGTGCAGTGTGCAGTTTGCACTTTGCACAGACATTTGTCACTTAACAAGCTGAATTTTAAACTATTTGATTTGAAATTTTGTCCTCTTATTTTTCAGTTTTTTGGACCCCACTACAAGTAATGAACAATTATATATTTGTTGTACATTTATGAACAAGAATACCCCCCCNCCCCCCCCTCAGCTATAACATCTAGTTTGAAAAGGAAGTCTGTAAAAGAACATAAAAGCTGCAGCACGATGAATCTATTAAGAGCCTGTGTTGAATTAATCTATGAATATTGAATAGAGTAAATACCATGTCATATGGTTCCGTGCCCTAGGGGCATTATCCGTGTATTTATATATATTCATCATAAAACTATCTTTTTAATTTTACTTAATTTAATATTTTTTAGAAATATCAACAAAAAATCTAAATTTTCCTCTTGCATTATCATTGATAATGTATTAGAAAAAACATATTTAGAACTACCGTTAATCTAAATAAAAAGTCATGTAATTTCTTGAGAAAAAAAATCACTTAATTTTACGCACTGCATCCCGTGTTGTCTTGACGCTGTAAGTTACGCTACTGTGGTATCTTTCAACTCTTGCGTTCAAGTCACTGGGGATAGCAGCTTACACACACCCGCACACACTGACAAACGGACAGTCGCACACTCTCACATATTCAAGCTTAGCTGCTCAAATGCTATCTACCCATTCACACCATACAACAGACCCTAGGGCGACAGTTAACGATATTCTTAGATTAGTTCATCAAGTTAGATTGGAGAATTACAGTTAGATGTTTTTCGAACTGATTACTCGCATCAAACTCAACAAGTTTTACGCTTATATCTTTGCAACCTGATTGTGTACATATCTAAAATTTCAGACATGAACTTTTATAATTTATAGTTTGTAAATTGTAATATCGATTTATCTACAGTGAGAGCCAGAAAACTCTTAAATAGAAAGACGACTTTTAGGCTCAAGTTAAAAGTAAGTAATAATTCCCTTTCAAGTCATTTCCAACCTATTAAAAACCAAATTTAATAGATTAACAAATTTTAGTATTTTTGGGGTAACAGAAAAATGACTTTCAACTCAAATCATGTTTCCTTAAGAATATATGTTTACATACATCCTATGAATAAAATCCATCCAATAAGGTTTATTTGAGTCTTGCATTCTAAAATATAAAAAAAGCATTACTCCCAAATAAATCTATATGTAATGGTTAAACACTGTTCAAAAGTGAAGAATGACATAAATCCTGGTAAAAATGAGAGGAAGAAAAAACCCTACATTACCATTTATTTAGATAACATTTTCAATAAATTTTCTAAAATCTAAAATCCATGAATTCAGCAGAAATCTCCACGGTTTTTCTAATTCCTAATCCTTGTCCTCTGCAAAATATAATCTAAAATCTTTTTATTCAATCTTTGAAAAGATTACTTGAGATTGGAACTTTTGTCTGAAACTGGAAACTCAAAAAAAAAGCTGACGAGTATTTTTGTATTTTTCCACCCTGAAGGATTTTGACACTATCGCCTAACTTTTTTTACATCTAAGAAATAGTAATTTAAAGTTTTTTGCAATTTTTTTTCTTCGAAATGACAGGGGAGGGTACCGGACGGTAAAAAGACCGATCCATTTTTTAAAAAAGCTAAAATAGTCCGACTTTTTGTTACATTTTGAAAAGCTCTCAAAGAATGAAAATAAAAACATCTTAAAATTTGTCAAAAACTAAAATTTATCTTTAACATTTTCCGACCTTTTTTTACATTTTTAAAAAATTGCCTAGCTATTAAAGTTAGTGTTCTAATTTGTTTTCAATGTGCTGGTTTTGAGAAATTAAACATCCATTGCCACCCTATACCTTTACTCTAAAGCCTTTTTCTTCATAAATTAACAAGATAAAAAGTTTAGACCTGTAGTAGAAAGTAAAGATGAGGGAAAAATAATAAGAATAACCGTTAGTCTGTTAGACTATTGAACTTGAGTTTCTATCTATCAGTGTCAGTCAAAAAAGGTTTAAAATTGTCATTTCCCCCCGTAATTAATTAACATTTTTATTGTATTCAAATTATTTTTGCTGGGAAAATAGAAATGTTTTTAATTGCTAATTTCTATCTAAACCTAAAATTTCATAAAAATTGGCCTCGTGGAAATATTTAATAGAAAATTCTGCAATTTAGTTTTAGTTTAACCGTTTGAGTTATTAATACTGTTTTATTTTTATGATCAACCGATCAACGAGGAATTCTTATAAATAAATTGTTCAAACCGATTTTGATTAAATTTTAGTATTAAAGGGACAGTAAAGGAAAAATGAAAGGGGGTATAGGCTGAAAACTAATCACTTTAGCTCTTGATCGCGACCCATGAAAGTCATATCTGATGTTCCTGTCTCGAGAAATTGATACAAAACTGTGTAAAATCTATACGAAAATTAATATATGTACAATTTTGTATAAAAGTAGTAGGCTTAAACAGATCATATTCAGCAAATAAGCAACCAATCTGAAAACGATGATATCCCAGAGAAAGCTAATTGTAATTTAGGTTTACTTTTATATTTGTTGTTTCTATTTTCAACAGATTTGATTCATAATATTATTTTTACGTCCGTATTACTTGACCAGAAATTCCACCAATGGCAGTGCAGTAAAGTGGTCACGTGATACAGGCGGAGACACGTGACCAGTATACTGCTCTGCCATTGGTGGTATTTCTGGTCACGTGATTTAAGTTTCAGATTTTCAAAATTTTACATATATGAATTTTCGTATAATTTTAACACAGTTTTATATCAGTTTCTCGAGACAGGAACATCAGATAAAACTTTCATGAGTCGCAATCAAGAGCTAAAGTGATTAGCTTTCAGCCTATACCCCCTTTCATTTTTCCTTTACTGTCCCTTTAATACTTTATTATCGCGGATTTCTTTGTGATGCAGTGTGAGTTTCAAAATACAAAACAGTATTTCAAAATATTGCAAAAAAACGTGCGTAAGAGGTTCATAAGTTTTTTAGAAATAGACGCCGCTAACCTGTAACCACACTTTCTTTTCACCCACTCTGTCTTTTCAAAAAATTTAAACATAAACAAATAGAGTTTTGCAATAAAGTATAATATATTTCCAGCCTCTTAAATATAACAGATATGTTTAGATACAAACATTGAATATGTTACGTACAGTGGTCTGCAAAAAACATGGAAAATATTTCGTCTTTCTGAGAAATATCGCTCAGGATTTTGTTGAACTGGCAACTGGCACAACTAATATATGTCAAATTTCAAGAGATAACGACATTAAACAATTTTATTTTTTAGTTACAAAAGAAAGAAAGAAGACGTCAATCATTTCATTAACTTTTATAAGATACCACTGTAATATTTCCAGCCTCTTTGGAAATGTGTTAATTGCTTACAAGATTAAAACCCAAGGAATAAAAAGTAAAGAAGTTACTTTGACTTACTGTTTTTGAACTGCTAAAAGCTTCCCTATTCTACTTTTCTTGGGTTTATAACCTTTAAGTTTGAAATAGTGAGATAGTAGTAGTACATTAAAAAAATGACATATAGGTTAAATTTGTCTTCTGATTTTCTTCAATTGGCATCTCCTTATATTCTATAGATACGTCTGAAATAAAATATTTTAAACAAAATGAAAACATTTGGCTAAAATTCAAACTCAAACTCCCCCCGCCCTCCTTGAGTAATTTCATTCAAAAATATAATAAAGTTTTTATAAAAATTGTTATTTATTTTTGTCAACTATGAATTTAAAAATAATAAGCCTTTCATTGAAAAGATCTCTTATTCGAGCAGGACAAAAAAGCGTATTTATTGCTTTAAGTTTACCCTAAAAATTTTAAATCGCATATATCTGAAATAGTCTTCGTACTCAGAATCCGATTGGGATGAAGAATAATCGTAAGGTCTGAAGACGTGTGCAAGCTCCTGCATCTGCTGTTTTAATTCCTGAAATAAAAAATTTTCAAATATTTTATCAGAACTTAAAATTTACAATGAGTATATTAATGCAGCACTGGCAAATTCTGAACGTACAGAAGCCATAGAAAAATAAAAAAAATGATATTAATTAACAAAGAACGGAAAACCGCTTATGTCCATAACAAATTCACTTATTTGGCAGCAATTAAGTTGGATCACAGCAATTTTTATCATTTATTTGGCAGCCATACGACTTTTGCTGCAAAATAAACGTTTTTTTAATTCGTAATTGTGTTGTATCTTTGGAGCAGATAAGACAAACAGAAAAAAAGAGCTATAATTCAGAACAAATATTGAGAACAGAGAACAGAGAACAAAGAACAAAGAACAGAGAACAGAGAACAGAGAACAGAGAACAGAGAACAGTGAACAGTGAACAGAGAACAGAGAACAGAGAACAGAGAACAGAGAACAGAGAACAGAGAACAGAGAACAGAAAACAAAGAATAGAGAACAGAGAACGGTAAACACAGAACAGAGAACAGAGAACAGAGAACAGAGAACAGAGAACAGAAAACAGAGAACAGAGAACAGAGAGCATATTTGAAGAAATCACCGAGTGATAAATAAATATACCGCAAAAAATAATTTCCTCAATACTTGTTTAAACCTAGAGACCGAGCCTAGCTGTCAACAGAATCCTAATAGAGAATGATGCAAAGTAATTCCATCAATTTAGCAGTATTTAACTTAAAGATTTAATACTTTGCAGTGCAATTTGATAAGGTGCGACCACTGCACTTTGCATGCTTCACGACATTAGGACCATCAGACAGTTAGAAAACAGAGATTAAAAAACTAGGACAGCAAATTCATGGTGTTTTTTGCTTTATATAAAATCTGATGCAAAATTCTAATAAATTTGACATTTTTTCATAGTAATTGTGAACTGTGTAGCGCAATAACCGTCTTGCCAATAAATTGTCCTATCCTTAATAATAACAGAAGACCGACGACGTTTTATGTTCTATCTGTATAGTCTATGACTAAAAATAAAGATTTTACCGCTCTTCTCTTCAATACTTCCAGTTCCTTGAGGAATGCTGGTAAATATATTCGTTTAGAAACATTCAGGTTACTCACATTCTATAAACAGAGGAATTTGTTAGATATACATAGAAAATACGTACATTTTTGTTATTACGAATTCAAATAATCCTTTTTTGCTCAGTGCTCATTATGTAATTTCCTTGATATTTCAAACATCTTTTAATCATATGTTGAACAATAGAATATCCTTTAATTGAAGGGACTGTCAGATTAATTTCAAGTGACCCTCCATGAAAGAGAGCAATGACGGATTTACAACGAAACCCTTTAAAACTTATGTCTGTTCACTAAGCTTATAGATCTAGATGTGTACATGTGTTTGAACGCTGCTGAAATTCCTGTAAAACCCGGTGCACGCTGCATAAACATTAAAAGGAATTGAGTCTTTGCCGCAAACTCGAATTTTTAAATCCCAATTTCTTTAAGACCAAATGTCGTAGACCGTAGATATTTCAAACTATGATTTAAGGTGGATCAAACAATGTAAGTTTGAAATATGAAAGGTTTGCATCATCTGGTTATTGAGATTTAGGTATTAGAAAATTGGGATTTGTGGCAAAAACTCAATTCCTTAGCGACTATTTTACGTCAAACGCGGTTCTCAAGAATTCGAAAGAAAATATTTGTTTTCTGCCACTTCGAAGTAGAAATTAGGTTGCAAACAAAGTGTTTAATAATTAAAAAATTAGGAAAAGTCCAACAACCTTGGTCAAGTAAAATGTTTAAAGAGTACTGTTGTGAATCGGACACGTCACTCTACCAATCAAAGGACACTTGAAATTACGCAAACAGTCCATTTGAACACACAAACGTACATCATTTTTGTATTATCAAAATAATTTAATTAATTAATCTATTATTATTATTATTTTTTTAATCATTTGGAGACAAATCTTTAAGTATCCATAACCCTTTCTTGCCTCAACATTTTTGAGCTTGATCGGTTCAGCCGTTTCTACGTTTATTGAATACAAACAGATAGACAAGTAAAGTACTTATTTAGAAGTTTTAGTAACCCTAATTTCAAATTTATGAGTCTTCCCCTTAGCAAAGAAAAAAACGATTAAAATTAACATTTTTTCTCGCCTTTGGTTTATTTTTCATACAGTTCATCAACTCCCGTATAACAGGATCCACCATCGCTGGTTCTTGGTCATCATTCTAGGTTTAAAGGGAGTGTTCGCGAAAATAAAATGGGGTTTAGACTTACATAGAAAAATATTCGATGGAGATACCCCTTTTTATTTTTCACGAACACTCCCTTTAATTATGAAAACTAAAACGGCAAATCCAGATATTCAAAACATGAAAATATTTACGTGAACTCCAAAACATGAAAATCCATAAGTCAAGAGATTTCATATGAAGTAATGAAGCGAGACGTTTCTCCTCCTGTTCTTATTTAAGAGTTTAACCTTTAAACTAATGAAATATTAGGATATTTCTTTTATTTTAATTGAAATATAGCATAGTCAAGATTCCTTGAAACCTGAATGATTTATAATGTATTGCACTAACTTTTACTTAACGAGATTTTGTAAAAATATTTTGTACGCTTTCTAAAAAATTTCAAGATATTTTGACATGAACAAAAAATTCAGAGGAGGGGGTGCCCCCTACCACAATTTCATTTTGTGAATGGAATTTTTTATTTTTCAATTACCTTACGTTGTAGACTCTTTACAAGTCTCCACAAAGCAGACACATGCATTCTTTTCTCCATAGAAATATCATCTTCCTTCATTGAAAATATTTAAGAATTGTCATTTTAACCATTTGCCAAAGTTTTAGCCCTGAACATTCATCTTTTTAATCTTTAGTGCCCTCTCCCTTGTGCGCCTCTGTAAAATATGTATGGAATATAAGTATAAACCAGCAAAACCGTAAGGCATTGCATACAGACTGCAATACATAATTGTTTATTTTTACGTTAACTTAAATTAAAAATATCTTCAGAAGGAGTCAATATTTCATGAATAAAATTACAAAAGCACCTTTATTTTTAAAACCGTAATGGAAACTTTTACTTTGATTTATTTTTTAAAGATTTTTCAGAGAAGGGTGCAGAACCTTTGGAAGGGAGATTCAACATTTTTTTAAGGATTAATTACCATGTTTGGAATAAAGTGGTAGTGAGGTCCATTAAATACCAAGGGCTCTAGACCTAAACAATTATAGAGGCCCTTGAAATGATAAGTCATAAAAAATTGAGTCTTCGCAACAAACTCAAATATTCTATCTAATCCCTAAATCTTTATTGTACACCTATGTGCACATTTTTGAGTCTTTTTACGCGAATAGATAGGCTGAAACCCCCTAATCCCTATTTTTAGGGCCACACTGGCCCTGCATATATAGAACATCAGTTTTATCAATAAAATTACGCATATGTCATATGACGTATTAGTCAAATGTCTCATTTGTCAAATGATCAATGCAGAATAATAACTTTTCTGGTGTAAAATATCACGTTTATGCTACAAAATATTAAGTTTACAATGAAAATACAATTTTCTATTGAAAAAATAACAAATTTGAAGTTTTTCTTTTGATTAAAAAATCGATGAAACATTTAAGTAAAGTTTTCATGAAGATGATGACGTTCTGAAGAGAAAATTCGGTTAATTTTTTTTGACAAATTAAAATTTTGACATTTGCTACATTTGACAGTTAAGACATTTGACAGATGAGAATTTTGACAGATGCGCCATTTGACAGTTACGACATTTTACAGATGCAACGTTTGACAAATGAAACATTTGACAGGTTCAAATTTTGACCGGTGCGACATTTGACATGCGTCATTTTACAAATGCGACATTTGACATGCGTCATTTTACAGATGTGACATTTGACAGACGCGACATTTGACATGCGTTACTTGACAGATACAACATTTGACAGGCGCAACATTTGACATGCGTCAGTTTACAGAAACAACATTTGACAGATGCGACATTTGACTTATTTTACATTTGAATTTAAATTTGAAATAAAAAATTTATTTGCATTCTATAAATTAAGAAAACCATATTTTTTTGCGAGAATTGATTTCGTATGTTTTAAATGTCTTGTCTGTTACTTTTTTCATCAGTGAAATGGTTGATTATTCTTATCAATAAAATTACACATATGTCATTTGTCGCATTTTTTTATACATGCAACATTTGACATATTCGATACTTGACAGATTCAACATTTTTTCAGATATATGACACATGAAAGATGCGACATTTGACAGATAACAAATTTGACATATTTTACATTCAAATTTTATTTTGAATAAAGAGTTCTCAGAAACCAATTCACCGTTAAATAGTTCTCAAAAGATGAAAATACGATTTTCTACAAATTTAATCACAAACAAGATGTTTTCCTTGTGAAAAAATAATTCTATCAAAAATTTTGAACAAAGTTTTCAAGAAGATGATTACGCTTTGAGGAAAAAATTCGATCAACAATTGTATGTCAATGTTTTCAATTAAAATCATTCTTAAAAATTATTCACCTTGCAAAAAAAACAGAAAAAAAATTTAATTTGCGTTCTGTAAATCATTAAGAAAATTATGGTTTATCACTCAGAGAGGGCAACGTAAACATTTTCAAATCAAAATTTCAATATTATTTTTAACTGAGCTTAACAAAAATCTGTTTAGTTTGCAACATTTCAAATTTGTCCTTACTTTTATTGTAATGACTAGAAAACTATATAACCTCCCAGCCAAATATTAGAAAACTTTATAACCTCCCACTCCCAGCCAAATATTAGAAAACTTTATAACCTCATAGCCAAATATTAGAAAACTTTATAACCTCCCTGCCAAATATTAGAAAACTTTATAACCTCCTAGCCAAATATTAGAAAACTGTATAACCTCCCAGCCAAATATTAGTAAACCTTATAACCTCCCAGCCAAATATTAGAAAACTTTATTTTTCTGATAATTTTGTGGTACCTGGATTCTGAACTAGGCTACGGTCTGCCCTGGATAAATTGATGATTATTCGAAGGAACTGTAACTGAGCGTAGTTCTAAGTAACCCTCCATGCAAAGATGGCCATACCCGATTAACAACGGTACCTTTGAAACCTTTGTAAATATGTGAAAGACTAAGCTGTCTCGTTTTTCTAGGGTTAAAAGTTGTTGATTCGGATAATTCCTGTATGTTTTCCTGCAGTAGACATGCTCAAGTCACTTTTTAAACATTGATAACTTATTTAAACTTCAGAATTCAAGCTTTTAAGGGTACCGTTTGATTCGAGCATTGTCATCTTTTTTATGGAGGAACACGTAAGCAATTATGCTTACTGTCCTTATAAATATTATTTTATTTTGGCTAAGTTATGTTTGAAAATGAAAAAAGGTTCAATCTAAATGGAAATGAATTATAATTTAAATTGTCTTACTCTGTCCAAGCACTAGCCGAGAACCCAGCAATGAATCCTACCCAAATGACTAAAAATATTTTTTTTTAATCTATTTAAACAAAACGATGTTTAACAAAACAAAAATTTTTTAACTGAAAGGGAGTGTTCGCGAAAAATGAAAGGGGGTATAGGCTTAATGCGATAAAAAGCGCTTTTGATCGCTACTAATCTTACTTCTATCTGTTGCGTCTATAAGGAGAAAATTGTTAAAAACGACTCACACTCAAAGAACGTAGTGTTCATACAAATTCAGAAAGATGCAACATTTAACTCGGATCGTAAAAAAATCTATTTAATTCCCAACAAATCATTCAGATATCACAAACAATAGTCATCGACATTTATCGACGCATTCTTAAATAGTTGATATTTCATAATATTTTATATTTTTCATGATCTGAGAGTTACATTTTTCCTATTTCGAGGATTTTTGACAATGAAGACGACATTTTCATATTTTCCAGGAATGTTCGAAAATCCAGCGCCAGCGAAAATTAATTTAAAAAATAAAATAAAAAATATTATGAAATATTATTTATATATGAATGCGTCGAAAAATAACCAATGACTGTTGTTTGCATAGATAATAGAATATATAGAGAGGAATTAACTAGCAAAAAGTGTAAAACGGCCATTTTGTTGTACTGTTTCCATACTGCAGGTGTACTTCACATATTTATGCTATATAACCTGTTGGGCCCTGGAATATCATTTTATAGAAAATCTAAAATTATTGTTAAAAGAAAACCAAATTATGAAATAGGCTGGTTTCATAATTGACCAATGATCATTTCACATAGACTCTATGCCTTCCACTTTACAAACGATGATTTGCCGTTAAAACTATAAATCAAATGATGTTTTTATTCACCTAATTCATTATAAAGTTTATTTAACAGTTTAAAAAATTTAAAATTAAAATGGGTAGTCTAGGGAACATACTGTATTAATGTACTCTACTTCATATAATTTGTGAACATTTACATGATTTGTACACTTTGAACTCCCTTTCAGGCTGAAAGGGACTGAAAAAATTCATACCGAGAGATTCTTTTAATTCCTCTCTATATATTCTATTCTCTATGATTGTTTGTAATGTCTGAATGATTTGTTTGGAATTAAATTGATTTGTTTGCGATCCGAGTGGAATATTGCATCTTTCCGAATTTGTATGGGCGCTGCGTTTTTAACAATTTTTCCTTAACAGATAGAAGTAAGATTAGTAGCGATCAAAAACGCCTTTTTATCGCATTAAGCCTATACCCCCTTTCATTTTTCGCGAACACTCCTTTTAAAGGCAAAGTCAAGAGTTAGTTTTTTTAGAAACAAAATTTATTTCAAACTTATCTTAATTTTCGAAGGTATGATGTCGTTAACTGAGAATCTACGTTTGTTAAGTTTTCGATATCAATCGTTCTTAGGTGACACCATAGATAAATAACAATACAGATAGAAAACTAGATTATCTTTCTCTATCTTGTAATTCAACGCGGCATGAGCGTAATTCCTTTTGGCTTTTGCATCAGGGTTATTGTGAACGAAAACCCCCCAAAATCTTGAAAGGACGACAGGTAGTGTTCTATCTGTAATGTTATTAATCTATGACTGACACAGTGTAAACCTAAGGTCGGCACTCCTATAATATCAATCCCGTCCGAAAGCAACGGATACAGTTACTTCCTGCTAGATATCCAAAAGGTTTGACCATAGATAAATAAATAAATATAGATAGCTTATGTACGCAAAATCACCAAGAATTGTACAGTCCACGAACTCATACTTCTAGGGGTCAAAGTGAACTTTAATGATAAGTGGGGTGGTTTGGTGTTTTAATGGATTTCATAATAGAGTGTAAAATAACTCCGGTAATGGAACTATTTGAACAACAATATTTCACTGAGCAATATATCACATTGACGAGAACTGAAGAAGGACATGAGATGGACTAAACTAACATAAATTTCTCTCTACAGAACTCATGTACAGTGTACACCATCAAGTACTCAATGACATAAGCACACCCAATGTTCACAACCGACCTAGTTAATCTATAAAATAGGAATATCTTTAAACATCTCTGTAATTTACATCTTTCAAGATGAAAAATGTCGTCTTATGCGCAATCTATTTTTATCTATGGGTTTGACCTAGGAAGATCGAGAAATCGTCATTTGATTGCTTTAAATCAAAAGACTGCTGTGGATATCAATTCCAGTCGTTTGAGATCAGCGATATTTAAAACTAAGTTTTGAACTCTGTTCTTTACCTGGACCAACCTTCCAGCACAACATCGTTCAGGGAATTGAATGATTACAACCATCGAAAAATATTTATATAGTAATGAATATTTTTAATCCTCATTCATTTTTGAGATAAAAAACTTTATGCAATGATAATTAATGGCGGACAGAAAAAATGTTTGTTTTTAATGTAACTTGTGATTACCCCTTTACTTTTGAATTGTGTGCAGAATGAACTTAATATTATTCCATATAAAGAGCTTTTCAGATAAGTTGAAGATGGAAGGAATTAGAGTTAATTATTTCTCATTATTAGACATGCTATTATAAGAAGATGACGAAATAAAAAAGAACATCATTAATAAACTATCTTCATAAAGGCACTATTCTGACTTCGTTTTTAGAGAGAATTCTCTCTGATATCTTTGCATCAGGCCTGAATTGAGATCTTGTTTTTCAATCAAAAACCTAAATGAGGGAAAATAAATTTTTCTCCCTCATTTTTGCGCATTTTTTCATCACTTTTTCTTATATAATATCATACTGCAGTGCTTATTTTTCTCAACGCATATTCTGTTGCAAATAAATCTTATTTTTGACTTTAAATGTTAAACATATTCTTTATATATGTTCTTATAATTATTTTCCTCACTCATTTTGGTTTTTGATTCAAAAACGATATTTCAAACCAGGCCTGCATCCAACAAATCAGAGAGAAATCTCTAAAAATTCAGAAAGCCCCCCTTTGTGCGTAAATGTGAGCATTTCCTTTTTAACCGAATAATTATGTTTGACTCAGGCCTGCTCGTATTTCAGCAATCTCTCATTGGCCGATGTTTGTGTGGCTTTTGGTTTTAACTTTTTTTTGTAGGTTATTTTATAATTTGTTGAATTTACTTGGACTGTTAAACTAAAGTTACGAATTTTGGTAGTATGATGAGCATATTTTTTTTTCGTGAAATTCTTGTAACACCTAACTACAGTTGATTTACTTTATAGTTGTTTAAAAGGGAGTGACCGTCAATGTATGGTAGTTCAACTGAGAATGTAATACAGTAGAGTATTTTTTAGGATTCATTAAAACCCTATCAGACGTTTTTATGGTGCATATTTGTCAAGCAAGAGTGCAAATTCAATCTTTAAAATCCTCATAGATTGTCCATTTTGAAGGGATGATTTTGAGAATTGGTCTGTAAAAGGAATATATTATGTCCTGCAATTTTTATTGAAAAGACGACATTTGAAGAATACAGAGAAATCTGCGAACAAATTTGTAAAGAAAAAGAAAATCAACATAACGATGAAAAGAAAATTATGTCTTTGGCCCTACTTTGCACACTTTATTGTGTTCCATCGTTTGATAAAGCAAATTGATTTGGATGCATTGAACTTTAAACCTTTTTTGTTCTTCTCAACAGCTGTTTCAAAGTGGAATTTGATAAAAAATATAACGATTTTTATTTTTCGTGAAATTTTCGGGACACCTCATCTACATTTGATTTACTTCATCATTGTTTTTATACCTCTCGAACCATCGTAAAATTTAGAGTTCAAAGACCAGCATCTCTGAATTGTGATATGTATGCAAAAAAGAAGAATGAAGAATGAAAAATGTCACCTAGTCAATTTGTTGATTTACTCTTAATAATTTTCATTTTTTTTATTCACTCAGCCATTGAGTTTCAAACTGTTAGGAGTTCTGGAAACTAATTTAATGAATTGGATAGAGGTCGCTGAACTACCTACCGCTGGTTCAAATTCTGAATCATAGATTCAAGATTAATATTCATCAGGATTTGAATCGGCGATTCATGATTTGAACCGGCTGTTGTCAGATAGGAATTTATCAATTTCCGTCTTTGGTTTACAAGATGATATAAATGGCTTCCGGACGTAAAAAATGTACGTATGTAATAAATAGTTTTTAATAAATTAGAGAATTATGTGTTTTGAGCTTTTTTGCTTGGCCAACGTATCTTTTGAAAAAAAATTGGGGTTTGTAAATTTCACCAGCTTCGATAGGCAAAAAAGGGATAGAAATGTGCAACAAAAGTATTCAGTATTCTTGGCCGCAGTTATATTTTTAGACGATGAAATGAGAAATTTGACTGCCTAACTCCTAAAATATACTTATTATAATCATTATGAATTTTAGTTAATTTCTGGCGTTAATTTAATTAAATTCTAGGTACGTCTTTACTCTTTTCTCAAATTAAAATCAAGAAAAACAAAAATTAATTATTATCCTACAAAAATGAAAAGAAACTTTACAAATCCGGTTCAAACCAACTACAAAACTCTAGCAAACCGTAATTGAACTTGTTTCTGCAAACCTATACAAAACTGACCCCAGACCCTCTCTCAACAACAATATTTGATTCCTTTTTACTTCTTTTCTTCACTTCAAAATAGAAAATTGCTGTTGCATTACACACATATATTTAAATATTATCATATTGAATCATTTGTTATATTACGCGTTATTTAATATTTGTGAGGATAAATATCAATCATTCAGATTTAGTCCATCTTCTTTCTCCTATAACAGTGATAATATATATAAGTAGATTACTTTCGTTCTACAGTGAAACCCTTAATAACGAATACATTGAAAGAATTCATCAAATGTCTTATTCTTCACTTTCTGATAATGGTATGTTGCAGATATTTAGTTTTTTAATTAAATGATTTTTTGAAACTGTTTGCGCATATTCATGGCTATTTATTTATTTTTGCAAATACTGAAATTTACGTAATATAGTATACAACTCATTGAAAAATTGCCAAGACGACATTTGATTAATTCTTCCAATGTATTCGTTATTAAGGGTTTCACTGTAAAGAACATTTTTTTATGTCAACTAACTAACTCTTAGAGACATTTTTCAATACAATATTAACCAGAAAACTCTGAAAAAGGAATACGACTTTTAGACTTTAGTTATGACTTTAAATAGTCCACTGTGCATGGGAAACAGTAGCTGTGCAGTGTTAAAAGACCCATTTTACTTTATTAGTGTTAAGTTACTAGTAAAACCTATTTGCTTTATAATATTATCAACTAGACTTAAATCTTGATATAAGTCGTCTTCCTATTTCAAATTTTTCTTGTTATAACCTTATCTTAATCAATTTCTTTCATTATTAAAAATTGTTTGAACTATTTTTGACTGATTAACACTTTGTATTCCGGAAAATAAGCAATCTTGAAATGTCATAATTCTTTAAATTAATACGATACATTTTTTAAAATCATTAATCATTTTAACGGAACCATTAAACCATTTAACCAATTGTTATCCAGATGTTGGAACTTGTTAAGATATTGGAATTTCTTTGTGCATACAATTTTTAACGCAAGTGAATGCAAAAATTGCAACAACGTGCGCAAAAATGCTCAATTAGCCCTCATCAACATACAGATTGCGGTGAACAGAAAATATAAAAATGAATACCCTGTACCTGGCAGTTCTTGAGAACTGTATAACCACCCAGTAGATTAACTCAATCACAGAGAACAAACTTTAAACACAGTACTTATTAGACAAAATAATTTTATGAACCAAGAATCTACATGGAAACCACCTTAACTAAATATCACTTCCATTAAACTTACTTGTTTTAATCAAAAATCAAATTGAAAAAATTAAAATTGATTACCGTTGTAAATCGTTTATGTAATTTTTTTTAAACAGTGTCCCTTGTACTTACATCAAAAAACCTCACCGTAGTTTTTTTGTGCGATATAAATTATCGCAATTTTTCTTTTATGTTTATATGCATACCCCATCCTAACACAGAGTCCCATAAATCCTCCCATAAATATACCTACCTCATCCCAACACAGAGTTCCATAAATCCTCCCATATATATACCTACCCAATCCTAACACAGAGTCCCATAAATCCTCCCATAAATATACCTACCTCATCCCAACACAGAGTTCCATAAATCCTCCCATATATATTCCTACCCCATCCTAACACAGAGTCCCTTAAATCCTCCCATATATATATACCTACCTCATACCAACACAGCGTTCCTTAAATCCTCCCATATATATTCCTTCCCCATCCTAACACAGAGTTCCATAAATCCTCCCATATATATACCTACCCCATCCTAACACATAGTCCCATGAATCCTCCCATATATATATACCTACCCCATCCTAACACAGAGTCCCATAAATCCTCCCATATATATACCTACCTCATCCCAACACAGCGTTCCTTAAATCCTCCCATACATATACCTACCTCATCCCGACACAGAGTCCCATAAATCCTCCCATAAATATACCTACCCCATCCTAACACAGAGTCCCATAAATCCTCCCATATATATACCTACCTCATCCCGACACAGAGTCCCTTAAATCCTTCCATATATACATACCTACCCCATCCTAACACAGAGTCCAATAAATCCTCCCATAAATATACCTACCTCATCCCAACACAGAGTTCCATAAATCCTCCCATATATATACCTACCTCATCCCAACACAGAGTCCCATAAATCCTCCCATATATATACCTACCTCATCCTAACACAGAGTCCCATAAATCCTCCCATATATATACCTACCCCATCCTAACACAGAGTCCCATAAATCCTCCCATATATAAACCTCCCTCATCCCAACACTGAGTCCATTAAATGTTCACATATATATATATCTCATCCCAACACAGTCCCATAAATCCTCCCATATATACCTCCCTCATCCCAACACTGAGTTCATTAAATGCTCCCATATACATATATATCTCATCCAAACACAGTCCCATAAATCCTCCCATATATATACCTACCTTATACTGACACATAGTCCCATAATCCTCCCATATATTTATACCTCCCTCATCCCAACACAGAGTCCATTAAATCCTCCCATATATATATATATACCTATCTCATCCCAACAAATAGTCCCATAAATCCTTCCATATATATTCCTACCTCATCCCAACACATTGAGTCTCTTATAGCATCCCATATATATTCGTACCTCATCCAAACACAGAGTCCCAAAAATCCTCCCATACATATACCTCCCTCATCCTCCCATCCATTTATATACCTAACTCATTCCCACACAGAGTCCCATAAATCCTCTCATATATACCTGCCTCATCCCAACACTGAGTCCATTAAATGCTCCCATATATATATATATATATATCTCATCCCAACACAGTCACATAAATCCTCCCATATATATACCTCCCTCATCCGAACACTGAGTCCATTAAATCCTCCCATATATATATTGACCTTTCTCGTCCCAACTCATAGTCCCATAAATCCTCTCATATATATACCTACCTCATCCCAACACAGAGTCCCATAAATCCTCCCATATATATACCTACCCCATCCCAACACAGAGTCCCATAAATCCTCCCATATATATATACCTACCTCATCCCAACACAGAGTCCCATAAATCCTCCCATATATATACCTACCTCATCCCAACACAGAGTCCCATAAATCCTCCCAGATTTGAGAAAAAATTCGGCCATGATGAACTGGCGCTGGTTACAAAAGCTATAAATTGTAATAATGTATTAGACATTAAAAATAACCCGTTACAGTTACTGAACGATATTACAAAGATACAAAGATCCGAGTCAAAGGTTTAGATAAAGGGCTCAACAATTCAAAATGGTTAGCCTCTGTTTCTGTTATCTCTTATCTGTTATCTGTTTTCTGTTATTTGTTATTAGTTATATGTTATCTGTTAACTGGTGATCTGTTATCTTACCTGTCATTTCTCTTTTTCCGAAGAAGATATTTACCACAGCAATGTCTTCTTTAAATGCATCGTACGAACCTCTCTGAAAAAGAATTATTAAGTGAAGCCAAACAATTTTGTTAAATCAAAAATGATGCTTTATAGATATCGGGTTTCCAACGCAAGTGGATTTTACTCGCGAGCAATCGCGAGCCCTGTAAACACGACACAATTCCGCGCAGTTCAAGAATAGTTGCGCGCAATTTCGCACAGTTGCGCGCAATTCAGCTCAATTTCGTGGAATGGAACTCCGATTTGAAACCCTTCTTAGATAAATTTCTTTTTTAGATGAAAACTTAATTAAAGTTGTTTACAAAATAAGAATCGAAAGTAATATTAAAAACAAAATTAAAATTTAGGATTCTTGATTTAATTTTTCCTGCATCCAGCAATTTGTTTTTAAAGTAATTGTTTTGGAGTATTCGAAAAGAAAATTGTTTGAGTATGTTAGTGATATTTTAGAAGATAACTTAACGGAAGAATCTGTTAACGAACGGAAAATTCAGTAATTTTTGAAATCGTTAAAGAAAGAAAATACTTGTTCATACTGGAAAAAAACGAACAGAACATTTAAGGTTTATAAAAATATTTTTTACATGTTTTTGGAAGTCGTTCTCTAATTTTCCTCTCTATTTTTGCAAGACATAATCGTTAACGATTTCAATAATATCTTCCGTTCATGTGGTTATTAATTTTGAGATCGTGAACGAATGGTAACTTTAAAACAGAACGAAAAATACCATTAACTAAACGGAAAGTTCATTTCTTAGCTGAGAACGAACGGATAAATGAAAAGTTGGTTTTAAACGATTATAGATTTTCTACACAAAATTGAAAGGTCTGCTTACTGTTTTTTTTTTATTTTACATTAAATTCACACTTCGTCGTCATTAAAGATGTTTTTTTTTACCTTACTAAGGGAGTAGATAATCTCGTTTTCTCTTTTTGCTTCTGAATCATATCGTTCTCGGGAAGAGTTTACTTTACTAGCCAAGTACGATGGAACCTTAAAAAATGATGAAAAACATTAAATGAGTAAAAGTGATCTTGGCCATAAAACTGTGGAATAGAAAAACGACATTTAAGTACTATGGGGTTCTTGTAAAAGAAATTTGTTCACCATTAGAATAAAGATATGCCTAATAAGTGAAATTTAATTCTGTGCACACTTTTCATATTTTTCTAATTTTTAAATTATAACTTGAGTCTAACAGTCGTCTGAATAAAAGTGATACCAAAAATTCAAATGTTCCAAATACTCAATATTTTTACAAAAATAATTTACAAATGTACAAAAATTTTATTTTGATTAAAATACGACGAAAAAATATGTAAATGAACAGTGAGAACCAGAAAACTCTTGAAAAGAAAGACGACTTTTTAGACTCAAGTTATTACTTTAAATATATAGTTCAATAAACAAGAGACACAATATAATTGTGCAATTTGCAGTGTAAATCGACCCATTTTACATAATGAATTATTTAAGAAGTTACAAGTAAAACTGTTTGCTTTGTAAAAAGATCAAATACACCTTATTATTGCTTTAATGTCGTCTTCATATTACAAATTTTTTCCGTTTCTTACTGCACATTCATAAATAAAAATAAAAACGTGCATGAAAAAATATGCAAATATGTATTCATTAAAAAATGGGCCTTCACTTCATACACTTCTCGTTATTCTTAGAAATTAAAAAACCTTTCCTTTCCAAATTTATAAAAGATTTGATCAAGTTTCTTACATTATCCCCAAAAACTGACTGAGCCAATCCCGCCCAGGCTGAGGGCTCAATGTCGTCTTCAAAAGAGCACAGAGGACTCAGGTTTATATTATAAGAGTCACATCGCCTGCAAAAAAATGTTGTGATTGCTATGAAACAGGTTGATTGTTGTCTTAATTCATTTTAATCAATTTATCAGAATTTTCCAGAGTTTAAAATATCCATTATTGAACTTATCAGATGATTTTGATTAACGTTTTCTTATTTCTTTTTATTTAAAAAAAAACTCATTTCCGCGCTGTAATTTTATATCTTGAAAATACAACTTTATATCAAATGAATGATAAAAATGATTTTAATATTTTTTCCACTTTTGTTTTCAACTGTTATAATATGTAAAAACGCATCATTATTCAGAGTGTAACTATATCAAACCCTTAAACATGCAAACACATCAACATATATAAATATCATTCTAAAGGCTAATCCAATTCCAATTTACAATTTTGCTTTTAAGATAAACTCTGAAAGTCGCCATTTTTAATTATTCTAAAATTGTCGCGGAGTTTTTTGTTTTAATTGGGGCATTTTCAAAATAAAAAATTGTTTAACTTAAATTAGCCTTACCCTACCCTTGGGTCCCATATGAGTTTCAATACAAAATTTGGGCTCGATCGGTTCGGCCGTTTTTACGTTTGTTGGATATAAACACCCAGACATCCAGACAACCAAAGTATATGTAGATATAGAATGAAGAATAAGAAATAAAATAGTAGAAAACGGTGTTTTGCCGAATAAAGTAAACTTTATGACAACCTTTATAACAAGACATTTTTTGACATGATGTTATTGTAATATGCCATACATTGTTTAGAAACCTGGATTTTAACACTTTGTTCATATGTTATGTTCCGTTTCATAAAGCGCTGAGTCTGTTCCCTCCCCATGACATTGGATAATACATGACAGCTAGATACATTTTTTATTTAATCATTTCATAATTATCACTCGGTAAATTTCCCGTTTATCCCAGAAATTACCCTTAAATTCTTCTGTTTAAAAGTTCACGTTTTGGATATCGAGTTCTGTCGATGTGGCTAAGCGCTACTCGAACCATAAGTTTCAGCCTTTGATTAACCTACCGTAGAGGAGCAGAATTCGATCTTGCTTGTAGAGATGATCCGACACAATTAGGTAAACAACCACACCCAGCATCATTCTGCTTAGTTAGCTCTTCCTTAAACCTAGTCAACCAACATGTAAATACTGGGGCGTATACAGGATTTAACCTAAGGGACGGGGGTGTAATGCAAAAATTGCACAACCTCTAAAATATTACTCCGCTTCTAGAAATGCTAGGGAGGGAGCAAAAATGTTAACCCTATCCCTGCTGGGGTACTTGAAAACCAGGATACGCTGGGGGGGGGTCAATTTTGCCCCCCCCCTCTAAATCCCATGTTTTATGTCCAAATATGACAAATGATACATTATTAGAAAGCTCTTGTGCTCTACTTTTAGAATCTGCAAAAAAAATTTGCAAATTTGCGAAAATTGAATTTTTTATCGCAAAATCCAGTTTTATAGTAAAAATGTTTGCAAAAATTAATTTGTCCAAAAAATGACAAATTATACATTTTTGAAAAGCCCTTGACCATGCCATTTCAAATATGCAAAAAATTTTTCAAAATTTTAATTAACCTGATTTTTAATCGAGAAAAACTAAAAATGTGCAAATTTCCTTTGACAGGTTGTTTGCAAAAAATTTGCAATTTTTTTTTCGCAAAACTTGTGCAATTCGTTTCCTTAATTATGTCATAGGCTTTCCAAAAAGCTAAATTTTATCAAAATCTGACAAGTGAAAGTGGGTCAAAACAAAGATTTAGTTTGTTACAGGCAAAAGCAGTCATTCAGGCAGTGTGCCTGAGGACTCAGGCAGTTAGTATTAAAGCCCGGTTTTAGGCCTAAATGGAGGGCTTTGGGTATGTAAGAAAAGTCAGAAAATTTCAACAGCCTCAGACCAATACTTTTTGAGTTATGTAAAAAAACTACAGGGGGGGGTCAAATTGACCCCCCCCCCAGCAGGAATAGGGTTAATAAGTTAGATTTGGGAATCTATCAAATATTTCTTCTGAGAAAAAAACTCATTAAGTTAGATGTTATTTTCTCCAGATTTAATATTCAACATTATTAACAAAATATACATTTTATTAAAATCTGCAAATTTTTCTCCGAAAATGTTGATAGATTAACCCTGAACAGGCTGGGGTGGGCGTTTGACACTATCACATTAAATTTTTCTTTACTTTTAAGAAATAGTAATTTCAATGAGTTTTTTTATTGCATAAAACTACATATTTGAAAAACCCTTGAAAAATGATTATGTAAACTTGCGTAACAAAATTAAATAATTTTTTACATATTCCGACATTTTATTTCTTTTTATTTCATTTTCTCTTAAATGAGCTGACCTTTAAAAATTGGACTAAAATCATGTATTGCAACAATATCGCTTTACTCAAGGCCTTTTTCTAGGGGGGGGGGGGCGGAGGGGGGCCCCCACTTAGACTATACATCGATTTATAGGGTTTAGCCGGAGTTTACTGGTTTTCCATGCTAAATTTTAAATTAATTATAAGTAAAATAAAAGATTATTTTAAAATCTAAATATTTACGTTTTAGCTTGCCAGGGATCACAGGCCGGATATCCATCGACTAAAAACAAAATAACTTAAAAACTGAGAAATAAAAGGGAATTTTCACCATTTCATGGATAAGGGTGCAATTGCTTGTTAGCACTGAAATGAACTTAATACTAGATTGACAATGTTTTTAAATAAATAGTTTGGTTTTTCAAAAATACACATTTTTAAAATAATTCTTTCAAACTTCCCAGCAAGAATGGGAGCGTCTTGGACGAGGTCAGGGACGTCATTAAGCATCCCCCAGGGGAAGATGATTAGTCAGTATATGAAATGTTCGCCCCTCTAACTCAAAGCGGAAATGGCGGAGAGCAAGAAACACTCCTAGGAGTTCTCTATCGAAGGCGGATATATACCTACCTCATCCCAACACAGAGTCCCAAAGAACAGCTGCCGGAGAAACACATGTGAAACACGGTCAAAACTACGGACGCCCACATAGAAACCCCTCCTGAAACAAATGCCATTAGCAACCTGATTCATGTGCAGCGTCCTGGAACTCGTCTTTCTGATGTAAATATGACAACCTCGGTAGGAGTAATTGTGGGTCTTGAGCACGTAAAATCCCCCTGTCTTGAAAGTCAATTTTAGACTTCCTGGGCCGTTTCTGGTTCTTGCTGGGTTGAGAGGAATTGAGCTATTGCCACAACCTCAAACTTTCTTATCCCAATATCTTAGATTATTTGATCGAACAAATACATAGTTAAAAATATCTCAGATCTCCGACATTGGGTGGCAGATATATTTTGGAATTAGAAAATCAGAGTTTATGGCAAAGACTCAATCCCTTTTTAACAAAATCGCGACAGGTATTTTACATATTGGGACTATTTCGGTAATATTTGATCCTGCGCCCCTTAGGTTTTTAATTGGAGGAACAATCTCTTAAAAAAAAGAACTATTAACATTTTTTTACCTTGAGGCATATACCATGGAATACAGCCAATATAAGCAGCCACTCGTTTAATAAAGCACTCAAACCTATACAAATAAGTTTATGATTTAAAAACAAATATTCAAGATAAAAGTTAAAAACGCTTGAACCACCCCTCATGAATCCTATATCGTTGAAGGATCAAGGTTATAAGGCAAGGAAAGTTATTTGCTGTGTCGTATTCTCTGCGTACATACATATTGAAACCTGTTCTCTCTGGGCGGTGTTTGTAAACAAGATTAGTGCTACTCTAGTATCCGAGGAGGGTAAAAGCATTTTGATAATTTTGATAATTCACATAACTGTTTTCTATGACCAGAATATTGCATTGATTTTTTATGTAAAAGATGGATCCATGTCAGGCTGTGACATCCGTCTTGTGTTTACTTTACCGCCCAGAGACAGTAGACTGCAGTACAAAAGATGCGTACACCTCTTAAATAACTATCTTTACATTACAATTCTTTGGGTTTAATGTAATCGTACAGAGAACACATTTTCTCGTACCAGTCCGTCAAGTAAAACAGTCGTGTGTAGTGGACCCGGCGCGTTTATGATCCCACTTTTTGTGGTACATAACAGTCAACTGATAGAAACATTTAAAAACTTTCATTTTTTCAATTTTTTCAGTTTTTCAATTTTTTCAGTTTTTCAGGAGACTGTATAATTTTAAATAACCTCACTTTTTGAGAGAGTATACCTAGTTCACAATTCTTTTTTATAACTTGAAAAGTGTTTAATTCTGACACTGACGCAATGAAAATGACGGTTTTCTTAATCACGCTTGGCTAGACAATGTTTTTAAGGGTCCCGTTGAAAATCAAACATTCCACTTCTGGTATGAGAAAGCCAGTCGCACTGCCTTACAGACAAGTTCGTTATTACAAACGCATACTCTTTTGGTACAGACACACAACATGACTACAGTCAAGAAAATTGCAGAACAATGTTGTCAATTATAATTAAATTTGGCTTATAGTGTTGACTTAAATATATGAATAATGTATTACATGTATATTAAACTTATTTTTAAGTAAACAATTAACAATAAACAAATGTACTTTCCTAGACTGTACAAATAACGAGATTCTTATGTACTGTATATACCTAGAGTACACGCCTTCGGTTCGTTGTTTCTTACACAAAATCTTTTGGTACAGACCAAGGGTGTAATGCAAGGAAAGTTAATTGCGGTCATGTGTACTCTGCGTACACATTGAAACCAGTTCTCTTTGGGCGGAATTTGTAAACAAGATTAGATGCATCAGTGTTCGTTTAGTATCCGAGGAGGTTAAAAGCATTAAATTTTGATAATTCACATAATAGTTTCCTATGACCAGAATATTTCATTCATTTTTTTATGTGAAAGATGGATTCCATGTCAGGCTTAGACATCCGTCTTGTGTTTACATTACCGCCCAGAGATATTACACTGCAGTACAAAAGATGTGTACACTTCTGAAATAACTTTCCTTGCAATACATCCTTGGTACAGACACACAAACATGTCGTTTCCGCCCCTTGATTTTTACCTACAATTAGTATATGTATATTGACTGTAGAGTTCAAGATTTGATTCATCTTCAAAATAGCAATTCCTCTCCTGTGGTGGAATACTAACAATAGATTCATCTGCACGCAGTAGATAGCCTAGGGTAGAAAACTACTGATTACTCGCAGTAGATAGCCTAGGGTAGAAAAATACGAATAACTCGCAGTAGATAGCCTAGGGAAGAAAACTACTAATTACTCGCAGTAGATAACCTATAGTAGAAAACTACTGATTACTCGCAGTAGATAGCCTTGGGTAGAAAACTACTAATTACTCGCAGTAGATAGCCTTGGGTAGAAAACTATTAATTACTCGCAGTAGATAACCTAGGGTAGAAAACTACTAATTACTCGCAGTAGATAGCCTAGAGTAGAAAACTATTAATTACTCGCAGTAGATAGCCTAGGATTGAAAACAACGATTATACTCTCCTCGAAACTGTAGTGTTTAATCCTTATAAATTTGCAACCTGTTGACGTATACATTGATATTTCAAACCATGAATTCTATTAGATAAAATAGTCAAAGTTTGAAACAACCAAAGTTTAAGTTGTCAGGTTGCAAAGCTATAATAGAGATTATGAAATCAAAGCTTGATGCAAGTTTCTTTAATGAATGAAAAGAAATAAGAAGATAAATACTGATAGTTTTCTATAATGTAGTGATGTAGTTGGTCCAAAAAAAGTTTTTAAAGTTACATGATCACTTTTTAAAATTTCTTAACCCACTTAATGCTTTTACAATTTTACATAATTCTAAAATGAGGGTTATCTTCTTATATATCTGAAAAATGGAGGAAAAATATCAACTATAAGGATAATTTTACATATTGGTAATTTCACTTTTTCTGTCTTATAACTATCTACGTCCATTGATTGTAATGTAAAATTCAGGTTTTTGAAAAAAATATTTGAAATAAAATAATACCCAAGAAAAAACGTCAACTCATCCATTAGAATATAAAGAAAATATAATTTTAAAACTTCAAAGAAAATAATATTTTTTTGCAGGTTAACTTAGAATTGAAATGAATCTTGAAAATATAAAAAAAGACCGTAGATAAATAAGATAAGGAATATGTTCAATTGTAGTTTCATTAAAACATTAACTAATGAATTTCTGCAGCAGAGATAAGAATGACCTAAGCAAAAATTTACCAAGTTTTAAGATAAATCAATGACTATGGCATGCTCTTGCTAAGGTAAAAATGAAATGAAATAACGGTAACAGTCCTTTTAAATTGCAACCAGCGTGACCAATAACCCACAAATCATAAATTCATTTTTCTTATTTCAAGAAAACCTGATAGATTTTATCCTATCGTATATACAGGGTCACCCACAAAGAATGAGACTTCAGAGATGATTGTACGAAATTTATACTGCCTCCTTTCTTATATATATTCTATATATATATCTTCTTAAAATAAGTCTGGAACGTGTTCTATTGTTTATTAAGATGGTTATTGCTGGACACATATATTATATATATATATGTTCCCTTGCAATTATTATCTTATTTTGTTCCTTGTCAAATCATTAAATAAACCATTAAAAAGGGACTTATTTTAAACTTGGGATCGTCATATTTTAAGGATTTTATGTCGTCTTTACAGTCTCATCCTTTGTGGGTAACCCTGTATATCTAGCTATATATTATTAACGATTGAAATTCTCCTTATGTGTATTCAGAGTAATTAAATCAAATAATATTGATAACAATTCATCGGAAGGATCGTAATTGACAATCAGAAAACTAATTGCTTCGTCAAAAGGATGGTAATTAACACTCAAAACACTAATTACCCATCGAAAGGATGGTAATTAAAAATTAAAATACTAATTACTCCATAGAAAGGATGAAAATTAACACACAAAACACTAATTACTCCATCTCAAGGATGGTAATTAACACTCAGAACACTAATTACTCCATCAAATACATGCTAATTAACACTCAGAACACTAATTACTCCATCAAATACATGGTAATTGACAATCAGAACACTAATTACTCTATCAAATACATGGAAATTAACAATCAGAACACTAATTACACTATCAAATACATGTTAATTAACAATCAGAACACTAATTACTCTATCAAATACATGGAAATTAACAATCAGAACACTAATTACACTATCAAACACATGCTAATTAACAATCAGAACACTAATTACTCTATCAAATACATGGTAATTAACACTAATAAAATTAACATACTCCATCGGAAAAGGTAATTAGGTTTCTGCACCTGATATATCAATATTGGTTTCACGTCCTGTGTCTAATAATGTTCCACGATCTGCAAGAACAGGGAACTCTGTAGGTTCACCAATAAATATGTGGAACCCACTAAACTTCTTAAACATTGTGCCAAAACTGAAAATAAATTATTTTTACCGTAATAATTAGCTGAGATTGGTTGTGTATGGGTTATACAGCTATTCATCTTGTTTATATTTTTTTTACAACAAAAGATTTAAGAAAGAAACAGATTCTTTTTCTCAAACTCTATCTATGATCCCTACATCTTTGTAAAATGATTTGATTTGTCAATATTTGATCTAGCAGACACCCTGTATGTACGCTGTACAGAGCTGCTCATGTATACATAGAGAATGATCTCCAAAGTTTAGCGCCAAAATTCAAACAAAATACTCAAAGAACCATGTGTTTTTAGTAAACACCTACTCCATAACAAGTTCTCGAACGTATCTATCCAGGTACAATCCGTATGCTTTCAAACTCAAACAGGACTAAATCCCAGGCTCTAAATGCCACACAAGGACACAAGCTTAGCTATCAAAATCCTGCCACTAATATACAGTGTTCAACCAGGACTGAACCCCAGGCTCTAAATGCCACACAGGGACACAAGCGTAGCTATCAAACAAACTTCATATAAGGATCACAAATGATAGGGATGATCCAAAGTTCTAAATGTCACACAGGGACCCAATACACACGGATACAATCCCGTGAACTATCAAAACCTTAATACACGGGGAGCGATCTCGTTAGCTATTGGTTTCAGTACAGAAACTAGCAATCAATTGATCAATGTCTTAAATAGGACACCATCCACACTTCTACAATCCCGTGAATAATTATCTTACTGCAAATTTACAGAATATGATATTTACACGATTTTTGCTACATGTTTTATACGTACATGCCATTGCCAATATATTAGTAATAAAAATTGCTTCAATGATATATATTCAAATTGTTCTGCCTACTTGTGTACAACAAAAAATCTAAATTTAGACCTATTAAAGATTAAATATACAGTGGTAGGCGTTTATATCAATACAATGAAGACGACTTTTTATTTAAGTTTTAATTGTTAACAAGCTTTTTTCGAATTACAAATTAACAAGTAATTGAATAGAAGCATTTTCAATTGACAGATTCTCTCTTCCATGTTTATGTATAGCATGCTGTTTTAAAGCTTTATATAAATCAAAATTGAAATCGATAGTCGTCTTCACTATATTGATATAATCGCCTACCATCGTACGTAATTTGTATGTCTGCTCCTTATTGAGTTTAAATTATTACCTAACTGAATCTGCATGTTGATCTACAACAAGTGTTAACCCTTTACTCTTCCCTGATTTTATCTTGAATGGTTCGTGATCAGTGTCATTGCTAAAAAATAAAATACATTTTCAATCTTTTATGTTGAAAAAAAAACTACATGTAGTTTAACGGAAATGTATTCATGAACAGTTTTGCTTATTTTGAAATAGCAAAACCTCCCAAAGTAGTATCTGAAATTTTCAATCTGAGCTGTCCTTGACAAATTGGGCTATATTTACATACAATACATGTATGTGCATTACAATTTAATAACTTGTCTCTATGAATTCTTTTTTTTATGGTAGTCTATAAACTCTCCACCAGGAAGGGAAAAGTTAATCTTATGATGTATGCTTGGCATTTTGTTTGTCAGTTTTTTTCTTAAATGCCTAAATTAGTGATTTTTTGGCCAGCTGAAATATAAAAATGTCCCCTCCAAAAACCTTTTTTTGTATTTGGTAAATAATATTTGAAATAAATGCGCTTATGTAAAGTGCTTAAGTCAAATTCAATAATGTAAATTTTACCTGATGCTTTTTCTTAAATCTTTATCTTTGCTCCTCATACTATTTAGCAGATCAGAATATGAAGAGTTTCTGAACAAATAAAAATTTGTTTTGACAAGACGTAAATATTATTTTATGATGTTTGGTACTTTCCAAAAGGATTTTTCCCAAGTAGCAACTTTCTACGGGTATTTTCCCAAACGGCAACTTCCCAATTCTGTCCTAGCCGCAGCGCGCGGCTCCTTCCCTGTTCTAGCCACAGCGCTTGGCCCCCTAGCCCATCCTAGCCGTGGGCCCGTGGCGCTTGTCCCCCAGAGTGCCTAACCTAACCACTGGAAAGTTGCCGATTGGGAAATTGCACACTTGGGTAGTTGCCACTTGGAGAATTGTCACATGGGAAGTCGCCCTTGGGAAACTGCCTTTGGGAAAGTACCTTACACCTTATTTAATTACCTTACCTCAAGGCATTTTTGGCATTGAATGAACAACACATGCCATGATCTGTGGGAACAGTTTGAAACAATTCAGCACAATTATACCTTTAATCAATCAAATGAAATTTAAATTTTCTAAAAAGAAACCTTTTTAAAGGTCTATATATATATGTTACCTTTCTTCAGGACAAAATACTGTTTGGCTGTTTTTAATGTAACAACAACACAAAGGTTGTACGTTCCACTTAAAATTGAGACTTAAAAAACGAAAAAATTTAAGCTTTTGAAACAAAAAACCTATTTAGATTTAATTTTATTTTCTTCAAATCCCTAAAAAACAGCGTTGTCAGTAACTTTTAGAGGCTTAATTTTTAATACTCTGAACAGTCTCTGGCAGAAAATTCCCCTTTTGGAAACATGGCGAGCGATAACAAAAGCGGCTCTTGGTGATTGGATTTTGACTTAAGACAAATTTCATGAGGAACATCAGCTCAACATGCATTGCATGAGGAATAAACCTGTATTCTATTAATGCCCTCACCCATCTAGCAAAAGTAAGATTCATAGTTCATAAACAGTCGCAGATGATGCTAAATTTTGAAAAGGTTTAGAGCTATGTCAGCTTTATCCAGAGCGAGCTTGGGACAAAATTTTTGCTTCCTGCATTTGACATCATCTTTTGAAGGGCTTTTTGAGCATATAAACATATTTTATCCCCTAAATCTTCTTAGAATACCTCAGAAGTGTTTGGTAGATGGTCATATTCAAATCGTCATATAGCGAGGAAGAGTTCAATTGTGAATCTCTTACCAACAAAGTAGTTTTTAATGTAAAATCTGTCAACAATTATTTTCAACCATTGCTCTCTAGAATGTCCTTAATATCTTCTATGTTATAGAATATTCTTTAAAAAAACTACAACCAATTTCTTCCCAGGGCACAGGTGACGGATTTTCATTTCCATATTGGTGGATTTGCTATTTTATAAGCTTTTTCGTAAAAGTGTCAAATTACGTTGGACAACCTTTATTAACCAAAAATGAATCAAAAAAGAGTAATAAGCAATTTTCATTTTTTACAAACCAAAAAATATGATGTTTTTTTTAAATGTGCCGAAAATTCAAAATATAATTTTCCTTTTTTTGGCTAAAGTATTATTATTATTGTTATTATTATTATTATAAATATTTATTCACACACAAAGATATAAATACATATATAAATGGTGTAGTTTAAATTTGTTTAAAAAATTTTAAAATTTATCATAATTACTCTTAGGTTCATGAGGGGAGGAAGGCCAACCAAATCAATCTCTAGTCCGAACCACATTCTCCTCATTTTCTCGTCCGAACCACCTCGAAATCCTCGTCCTTTCAATATTATTTTTTTTAAGTGTCTAATCCTTCCAGATAAAACTATTTTTAAAGAATCAGGACACGTTAGGGCATAAATGAAATATCAAATTTTTGTAAATCGAAAAAAAAGTTTCAATTGAATTAAAGATTTAAAGTTTAATGTCTTTAAAAATGTTCACCTTTTTTACGCGCATTTTCAGATATTCCTGGTGTAGAATGCCGAAAATAATTCCAAGTTTATAGAACTTCAATCTTTTTTGTTAACTTTAGTGAAACCCATAGAATTTTTCCAGGTGGTTCCATGGGGAAAATTATAGGCAGAGGTATGCCGAATATTTTGATATTTTTTTCATATCACGAAGGTTAGCCATTACGGAGGCGGAAGAGATATAAGTTTTACCTAAATAAAGTTTGACATCATTCTCATGGGTTTGAAGATTCCAACATGATATAATCATTGCAATACTTTAGTCCATCCATATTTTATGCCCTAACGTGGCAAGATTTTTTAAAAATAGTTTTATCTTCAAGAATTGGAAACTTTTTAACACAAAATAATCGAAGGACAAGGATTCCGAGGCATGGTTTGGACGAGAAAATGAGGAGAATGTGGTTCGGACTAGAGATTGATGTGGTTGGCCTTCCTCCCCTCGGTTCATAGTTTTCTTAATGTTGATTCCAAAGATTTATACTTTGTAGTTTTACAATTCCTTTAATTTACCTTTTCCCGTGGAAAGTACAACGCTGAAGAATACTTTTTGTGTTTACACCTGAAACAAAATTAAAACTGTTTTCAATTTCTCCTCTAAACTACAATTTTTATTCTATTTTTGATATTGGAAATTACAAATTACTTACAAAATAATAATTTAAAGGTAAATACCTTTAAATTTGAATTTTATCTTATTTTTAAAAGATGTATGTTTAAGAATTATGTTTTTAATATCAAAATAGTTTACTTGGTAGCTTGAAACATGGTAAGCTTGAGTACCAGAGAAGTTCAAACATACTTTTGTACATTTTCATCATACTCTCCTTGCTAAATAAAAATTATTTAAAGTGACTATTAAGGTAAAATGGAAGAGTTATAAGCAAAATGTTAGGAATTATCGCAACCAATAAAAGTTCTGATGTCACTGTCTCAAGAAATTGATATAAAACTGTGTCCAAGTTATATTAAACCTCTAATATACGTAATATGGTATTTGAATCAAAGCTTTAACAGATACGGAACAAATCTAAAATTACGGTAGCCCACTGGTGCCTAGAAATTTTAGGCACGCTTAAAAATCAAAAAATGAATATAATGAACAACGTTTTTACATTCAGAACACATTAGCTGTGAATTTTTCTCTCAGAGATAAATCGTAAAAAAACATTTGTTAAACTTTTCAGATTTGTTTCCAGCCTTTGGAACCCAACAAACTGAAATGTGTTTAATAAATGAAAAACTTTGACCATTATGATCACTTACTTGAAGATTTCTTTCAGTTTTCCCAGCGTATCATCTATGACTTGTTGTCGTTTCTCCTTTAGCTCTGGGTTTAAAAATACATCTATGACTGGTTTTAAATCATCTGGAGCTTCTTGTTTGGGAAGGTTGGTAGATAAAGTGGGTTCAGTTGATGTCCTTGTATCTTTAAGAGTTGTCTTGGTAGACAGGTTGGAGTTGGTCCGTCCAGCTACTGATGGAGTAGGTTCAGTTGATGTACGTGTATCTATAACAGTTGTGTCGTTGGTGGAGTTTATAGATAGGTTGGAGCTAGTGTTTCCAGCCACTGATAGAGTAGGTTCCGTTGATGTGGTGGTAGTGGAGTTATCATTATTTATCTAAAGAGTGTTAAGAATATTCAAATTTGATGTCACTGCTAACTTGAAAGGAAGTGTGTTGTGTGCAGATTTAAGAAAAATATCAATGAAAACGGGCGGACATTATATTATTTTTGTTTAGGTCTATTATTTCCAAAAATGTTCTTTTTAATTATAGTTTTATTTCAATAATGCACACAAAAATCATTTTCATTGTTTTCTGTTGACATTTATCTTATCCTTCATTCAGATTTCAGAACTTTTGTGTTTTAAATCAAAGAATCAATTATTGATCTTCATCTTGTGAAAATAACGGCTTAATTCAATTCCTCTTGAATATCCTATTGTGACCAAACACTGCATGAACAAACCCGTATCTCTCAAATTCAAAAGTTATTACAGTGGATGTCGAGATAAAGCATTAAAGATTAGTATAATTTTCACACAAAAGTTTGGACTTCATGTGAGACTATCTGTTTTAGAATTTGAAATATAAATTCTTTCCTGTCGTTTTCTTCTCCCACTGGCACAAACAATAGGACTACAGTTGTTGGACTAAATTAGAAAAATATGTAAATTACAATTTAAAATAATTTTATTTATTAAAGAGGGATTGCCGACGTTATTTCTAGTCTCTCTTCATTTAAAAAGTTATATACCCAATTCACATTGATATTCTTTAAACCTTTATTTATTTGAGTGACAATTAAATAAATCTTCGTTTTTTATCTTGAAAAGAAACAATTCTTTTAATTATTTTCCTTTTCTTAGCTGTATAAGTTCATCATTTTAGTCAATCTCAAAATAAACTTTTCACACAGGTCGGGGATTACTTGAAATTTTTCGACATTCCCTTCAAAATTTAAATTTTTTTTGAATAAATAATATTTATAAATATTTTACTTTTTTCCAATATTTATCATTTGATTCATCGCATACACAACAGGTGGCTTTACTACAAACCTGAGATAAAAGTTTTTTTGAAATCTTATTTCAAAACACACAGAATAGCGTAAAGATGTCCCTTTTGACCAAAATTGTCAATAGTTTCTGTGAAATATTAGAAAGGAATTTAGTCTTTGACACAAACTTAAATTTTCTAATCCCTATATCTTTGCAACGTAATGATGTTAACCTTTAAGATTTTAAACTTAGATTATTTGATTTAACAGAATTCATAGTTTAAAAATGTGTACGGTCTACGACATGGGGTTGCAAAGATATTGGGATTAAGCCATCAGAGTTTGTGACAAAGAATCAATTCCATTGAATTTCAGGCAACTTATTATTTTCTTTTTAAGTTTGTTTAGGAGGAAGAATGAAATGAACTTACTGCAGCATCCTCTGTCGATATTTTAATTTTACAACACTTTGCATTACTAGGAGGACACACATCTAAACATTAATACGTTTGTGCAAAGTTGATTCCGGTCAGGAACAAAACTCTCTGAACTAATCGGAAAATTCCGTGAACGCACAGAAAGAATCGGCAGAAACTATCGGACTTATTCGTCAATTTTTAATTAACCTTACTGTAACTGTCTACGTACTTAATCCATTAGTTTTTAGTTTACTGAATGGATATTTTAATAGCGAGTGGACTTCTTAAAATTATCGAAAACGTCTGTTAACAAAAAGAAAGAATCAACAGGAAGAACTGTTAATAAAAACAGACAGGCCATGATCGTCAATTTTTATGACTAACCTAACCTAAATCACTTAAAGTAACTGAGTTCTTGGATCTCTTATGTTCTAATTCCTATATTTCAAATTATGAATTCTTACAGATCAAATAGACAAATTTGGAAACAAAGCTTTACACCACCAGGTTGCAGCGAAATAGTTATTTGAATATTTGAGTATATGGTAAGAACTCAATTCTTTTTTTCTTTTTTTTTGCAGGAAACTAAGATAGTATGGCTTAACAAATTTCAGTAACAAGTGAAAGTTTTGAAATTGAACAGAAAACGGAAACGTCAATCAAAAACTTGAATTTAAGACTTTTCCAGTTTCTTCAACAAACAAAAGTTTTTGAAAGTTAACGAAAATTTACGTTCCCAAATGGACGCTAAAAGTTCAGAGTTTAAAACACACAAATGGTCAACTAATCTGACTGACCATTTCCGACCCAGCCAACCCCACCCCGCCTTCGAGGAGACCTTGGGAAAAATCTGACTTCACTAAGTTCTCCTTTTTCTTCAATATTTGCAAAAAATATCAAATTTGTATCGCATTTTAAAAAACAATTAAAATATTGTACAATTCAGATGGCATCAGGCTACACGCTCCTTCTAAAGGCGAGTTCTCTGCCCCCCCCCCCCCCCCCCCCCCCCCCAGCCTTTAGAGGACTGTGATAAATAACTTGTCATGTCCCGCCCATCCCCATTATAGCCTGTTCCCCTCCTCCAACTTTCTAAAAGTCTTTCTAAGTTGGTGCTCAGTTTTACAATTATGATTATATTTCCCACACACATGCCTTGAGTCCTATGAAGTACTCCTTGAAGCCGGTGCTAGTCGGACTCTAAAAATTGCAATTTGGTCTCTAGCATCAGGCTTCAAAGTTTCATATTTCAATTTCTTCTTTCATTACTCAAATTTTGTTGAATATTTTCCAAAATTACAATCTAACAAAACTTGTTAATAGATTACACATTGTTCTGTCATATGACATCTTTCTTTCATAATTTGACAGTTTTCTTTCATTGTAATTAGCCGATATTTTAGTTTGTGTAAGATTAAATAAATTTTGATTTATGATTATGAAAAAAGAACTTTGATCCCTAATGCTAAAGACCAAAATTGCGTTTTTTAGAGTGATGGCTCCAGTATGTTTGCAAGCTGTCATATTAGTTTGTAATATCGTAGTACACTAGTTTAGCTTTCTGTTCAACAGATACACTGTTACAATAATACTTAGAGTGACATGTCAACCCAGATTAATGTTATTTCATGGGTGTCTACTTCAAATCTCATCTAACCATTAACGGTCAACGCATTTTAATCGAGGTTTCTCAAAATGCCCCCTCCGAGTACGTACCAGGAATAATCCTTCCCTAAACTCCAAATCTGGAAAACAAGATCATAAAAAAGTGAGGACCTATTATACAATCCATGAAATCCGATTTTCTTAAATCGATTAACCAACAAACTGTTACCTTTAATAAGCTAATCCTCGAGTGTAGGACCCTGAGGGAGGAGGCTAGTAATCTTAAATCTATACAGAGTACTCAGGAGCAACGCCAGAGAAATTATATTGTAACATTATTCAACCTACCCAGGGTAGGAAGGCCAGCCAAATCAACTTCTCGTCCGAGCCACATTATTCTCATTTTCTCGTCCGAACCACCTCGAAATCCTCGTCTATCGATTATTATGTGCTGAAAAGTTACTAATTCTTGAAGAGAAAACTATTTTTAACAAATCTGGCCACGTTAGGGCATAAAATATGGATAGACTAAAGTATTGCAATGATTATATCATGTTTGAATCTTTAGAGACCTGAGAATGATGTCGAACTTTATTTAGGTAAAACTTAAATCTCTTCTGCCTCCGTAATGGCCTACCTTCGCGATATGAAATAAATAGAAAAATATTTGGCCTACCTATGCCTATCATGTTCCCCATGGAACCACCTGGGAAACATCTATGGTTTTCACTATAATTAAGAAAAAAGATTAAAGTTCTATAATCTCGAAATTATTTGCGGCATTCTATACCGGTTATATCTGAAAATACGCGTAAAAAAAGGTGAACATTTTTAAGGACACAGAACTCAAATACTTTAATTCAATTGAAACTATTTTTTTTTAAAATTTATGAAAATTCAATATTTCATTTATGCCCTTACGTGGCCCAATTCTTAAAAAATTGTTTTATCTTGGAGGACTAGACACTTTTGGAAAATATTATTGGAAGGACGAGGATTTCGAGGTGGCTCGGACGAGAAAATGAGGAGAATGTGACTCGGACTAGAAATTGTTGTGGCTGACCTTCCTCCCTTCACCTACCTTTCAATGATAATCAGAGAAATAATACTTCCAATCTGATCCAACATGTCTACAACAAAGTTCTCAAATCTATTCTCTAGGTCTGTGTTAACAAGAAGGAAATTGACTCAATTGAGCACAGACACCCTCTAAAACCTTCCAAGAACGCACCTCCAAACTCTCACTCTCCAATCATCCTCAGGTTCTTCTCAAGAACATATCGTCTTCTTGTTCTTAACAATAAACGAAAGATACTGGAGGGTAAAAACCGTTCTCAACCTAACAGGATATTCATGACTAAAGATCTAACCAAGTTGAACTACAACCGTCTGATGGAGCTGTCCCAGTGTCCAAGGATGATAAAGTTGAGAAATGCTTCACACAGAATGGGCAGATCAAGTTTTCTCTAAAAGATGACGCTCAAAAGAAGCTGCACTTTGAAACCATTGGCTAATTTCCTGATCTACAGAGAGCAACCATGCCCTTAAAGCATGTGCTTTCTTTATCTATGAATATGCAAAAACCATGAGATTAATCTTAATTTTGATTTTATATTTATTACTTAATTTTCATCTAGGCTCTCTTGTGAATTCGTTTTAATTTATTTTTCTATTTATTTGCTTTAAATTCCTTATTCTCTATTTACTATTAGTTATTACCAAATTTTAACTTTTAAATTCAGGCAACTATCTTACATTCAAACCAATGTCGAACATGCCTATTTTAAAAATTAACATGATTTTTATTCTTAGATTTAGAGCTCGCCGGTTCTCACTCTCTGGTACTGAACTCATTGATTTTTTTAAAAACCAGTGATCTAAGCCGGAGCGTGTGGGTTCCTCACCCACTAGTAAATTAAAGCAAACATTTAGATTTTTAAAAGATCACTTTTTCTTTTTCTACTTATTTTCATAATATGATACTCTTTTTTTTGTTTCTCCTTGTTGTGCGGGAGCCGCCAGCTTATTACATCCTTCATATTTTTTCTAGTATTCCTGGTACCTGAGTACATGGGTCAACCTCAAACTCATTTTTTTTAAAGCTACTAAAACCGACCTAGAAAATACATTTGTAGAAAATAATTTTACTTGCGAGTTTTTCAATGAACCTACTTTTTGTGCCTTGTTTTAAAATTTTTCTAATTACATTTGTTTGAGCTCTAATGTTCAGAGCCTTTCAAATAAATTTTCTTCAGTTTGTAATTTTTTAATGTCCTACACAAAAGTTGTGTTACTCCAGATATATTTTCTGTTCAAGAAGTCCAGTATGTTTGCAAGCTGTCATATT